ATCACTAACTTCAACTCTCCTCCCTTCTCAATTCTCAGGCTCAGATATTGTCAGCTTAGGTTAGGTCTTTTTCTTCCCACAAGAAAGGTTTCATAGGCCTTCTATTTACAACTGTACATATTTCTCAGGCAAATGCCTAAAGCTTCTAAGGTTTTTCTTAGTAAAATTAACTCCTTTTGTTCCACATCATCAAGGAATTGTCCTAATGATGATTCTGGCAATTCCCAGAACTGGCTATTTTTTTTTTAAGGTTTTAATTAATAGTGGAGCAGATTTCAAAAATGTCCTCAGCAGTTTTGTTTGTATCCGCAACTGCCTGGAATAGTCTGATCTGTTAGCAATATGCAAGAATCACAAAGAACACACAGACAAGGGAAAAGACAGACATATGGCTCCAAGGACAGCCAGGTCGAGTCAGTACAAATGGCGACTCAGGTGACATTACACCACAACTGATTGCCATGGGGCAGCCAGGGACTCAACTCCAAGGAGCGCAGATCCCTATCCTCCGGCAATATTTGCCTGCCTAGTCAGCATTTCTGCTACACTGGCGAGACAGCCGTGGATGTAGCAGGGGCATAATTTCTGAGTAACAGGGTGCATGTATGATATCATATGGCATTCCCATGAACAGTCCATGAAGATTCTTTTTGCTCTGTATCCTTGGCAATACTTGGTATTGGTTTTCTATGTCTTGTATTTGCTTTTTTCCCCCATTGTTGGCCAGTGTGATGGACATAGTGTCTCATAATGTCGTAAATGCATATTTCCATGGCAAGTGATGAATTTAAACACCTATTTACTGCTTACTGGGCAACGTGACTTTCCTTGTTGTGGGGAGCAGATGTATTCCTGAGTGAATGTGCATTATTTGACACGGGCACAGCCATGTCCATAACCCCAATGCCCAAGACCCCTGGTCGAGGCAAAGCCTTCTCCCTTCCCCGTACAAATGTTGATGAACAATTGTCCTTTAACCCAAACCGATGTGTGCAAAGAGTATCAAATGCAACATCCTCATCCTTCTGGAATATTGACATTGTGTACAGAACTACCAACCGCAACAGTTTCCTCCTCCCAGATTACTACAACCTGAGACTGCTCCTACAGAAACCTCCTAAGAAGGCCTTCTACCAAGATTAGCTCATCCCTGTCCCCACTCCGTGTTGGTGCTGAACTTGCTGAGTGTCTGGACTGATGCTGGTGCACCTGCATCAGAACACAGAATCCTCCCCACCCCAGCTTTTCTGTATGTGTGTCTTTTCTTCATTTCCTGTCACCCCAGTAAGGTCACCCGCTACACTGTATGTGTCATTGAACCTTATTCAACAAAATGCTGTTTAACATGTTTATTACACATGCAAGTTGCTGTAGACCGTGGTGACAAGCAGTACCCACGTTCCTTAGGGTTACAAATCATTGTTTGGTTTGTGTGATTTGAGTTCTTTTATTTTGAAAGGACTTTCCTGAATATACTAGAAATCTAAACACACTCAATTTTGATTGCCTCTTCTCCAAAACATGCCAGATAAAGAAATATAACTAATCAGAAATAGAAGGGTACAGAATAATCAATAAACGTAATCAGTAAATAACACTTAAATAAGTGTGTTGTTCAGCTTTCTGTTATTGTAACAAAACCCGAGACAATCAACCATCTTACAAGGAGGAAGATTTGTTTTAGCACACAGTTTCGTAGGCTTCAGCCCATGGTAGATTGCCTGTCATTTGGGGGACTATATAAGGCAGTACATTACAGCGGTACCAGGTAGCAGGACAAACCCGCTTACTTTCCAGTGACTAGGAAGCAAAGAAAGAAGAAGAACAGGGTTTCAATATCTCCTTCAAGACTGCATTTATGATAAGACAACTTCCTACCAGTAATCCCTACCCCTTAAAGTTTCCAAATACCTCCCAGAAGTGCCAGGGACAAGGGACCAAGCCTTTGGGGTCTTTGGGGGCCTTTGATGCCCAACTCACAGAACATGTATCATGCATGAGTCCTGCCAGATATAGGGATGAGCAGTAAGCAAGCTGGAAACAGCTCACGGCTCAACTCCTTCAGATCTGGCCATGTGTGCTCACATTACATGTGGGGGCTTCTGTCTTCTGCTGCGGGGCCGGGTCCAAGTCTTACTCAGCTCCCGGAATTCATTTTATATGTGGGAACCCAAGGCAGATGCTGGCATTGCACACTGAAGTTGATAAACCAGCTGATCTGTTTGATAAATGCTATGTGGAATAGGCAGAATTTACATTGTCCTTGGTAAGGTGGGAGCCGCTCTAAGATGACAGTTCACATCCTACGTCCCACTTTAAAGTTCTTTGCTATCTAGAGTATCCCTAGCTGTGGAGAACTCCAGAAATCGGTCTATAATACAGCCTATGTCTTCATCTCACTTCTTATGTCTACACACAAAAGAATGGGACACATTTGTGCCTGGCTCCTCGGTTCGGTCTGCATCTTTTCCATGATGGATTTGTTTTTAAGTGGTGTGTTTTTCCCTGCCAAGCCTCCCACAGATCCCTGTGTTGAAGTCTCACAGACACTGAGTAGTTAAGCCTGGCTTTCGACTGCCACTGTCTTATTCCTTAAGACCACCTCCTCTCTGGCAGGTCGTCAGTGAGTTCACAGGGATGCCGTGAGCTCTTGCAGCCTTGGTGCCGCATACCATTCCATGAGAGCAGGCCCTTTCCGGAGACTTGACAACCTGGTACCACGTCCTCCCACACTCACCCTCCCGTCCCAGCAGCTTATCTCAGGTGTCAGAGAAGAATGAAGCTTTGCTCTTGGACATTCCAGCGCCGGCAACTGGAGGGGAAGTCCGCAACAGAGTCAGCTGACATCCGGAAAGCCAGGCTGACCCATCAGCTGAGCAGTCACCTGGCCAGTCCCTATCAACCAGGCTGCCAGAGCTGTGAACACAGACAGACAAGACCCCCCTTGGGAGATCTCTGGGCAACCCGTATCTAAGGTATATGTTCTGACACTCCTGGGAACGGGACGAAACCGCACAGGTCAAAACCCAGAGCTCTCTCTCCCCAGTGCTTGGCATTCAGGAGGTGAGTGACCGAACCGTCTGTGTAGGTCAGGTTGTCACTCCTACACCAGGGCGGAGAGACCTAGTGGACTGCGAGCAAACGGCCTGGGAGATTTATGAGAGGGAGGTCACACTTCTCCTTACTAACCAGAAACTCACACCTCTGTGACCTCAGCCACATCTTTGTCCTCTCTGGAACTGTTTTCTACCTCTAAAACGGGCAGGGTGCAGGGAGGGTCAGACAAATGGGCAAGCCCTCTCTCAAAGCAATGATCTTTGACCCTGACTTTTACACACCACCAGAGAAAAAGTATAATTACTTTTTTTTGTTTGTTTCCCCAGGGCCATGTGTTTCTAACCCTGTAATCACATAATCTTCCGGGAGAAATTCCCCCACCCTGAACCGCTAGAATGTGTTGGGAACCTGGGTTTGCAAAATCCTTGATTTAAGTTTCGTTAAAAATATTTGATCTAGGTCTATTGTTTATTAAAAATATATATATTTGATCTATGTATGTGGCTAAGTGTGTGTATGTGTGTCCATGTGTGTGCCTAAGTGTATGTATGTGCATCCTTTGCATGGAGGAACCCAGAAAGGTCAGAAGAAGGCAACAGATCCCTTGGAAGTAGAGTTATGGTCTTGAGGCATCATACGGACATGAGGAGCCAAACCCAGTTCCTCTGCGAGAACAGTACGTGCTCTTAACCACTGAGCAAGCTCTCCAGCCCCATGGTGATTCCATTTTCTATTTCTGCTTCAGTTTCCTCCCCAGTCTCTACCTCTCCTTAGCAATCTCAACACCGGGACCCACCACGATCCTGGCATGCCTTTGCCTGTTCATTTGTCAAGTATTTTCTCCAGGTGCCAGATTCTGCCCTACACTCTTGAGCTGCCAATGTAGCTAGTTCTCAGGACATTCAGTCTTACAGATAGAGGTACGCTATCAGTCATCTGTGGCACGCAGGCAGTACCACTTGGGAATGAGCACCCAGGAAGGATATTAATACAACTTAGAGCAAGGAGCTAGGGTTGATGCTCTCGGCATTCACCCATGGCAAGTGGGCCTCCTTGGAGTGGCTCCATCCATGCTCAGGGAAAGCCAGGTATGTCTGGGTGCTGCAACAGCAGTCAGAACCCTGCACCCAAGTCCTGAGTTAAAGGTCTCCTGAGGGAAACTCCAGGTATAGAGGAAGTTGCTACGAGACTGAGTTGGTCAAAGGGGAGACACCCCAGTAGGGGAATAGTTCAGGAGGCACCACGTTGGGGAAAGGATGTGGTAGGGATTTGAAAATCATGAATTTCTTGGTCCCAAGACTTTGTCACAGAATTCTAGCATCCTTTCTGGTGAAGTAAAACATTTATGCCATCTTTTCCTGTACTTTCAAATGTTAGAAGAGGAGAAAGGACTGCCAAAGGGTTCTTTGGTGTCCCTGAGAGATGCCCAGGGGTTCCATATTGTAGTCACCTTCAAGCCTACAGTGCTCATGAAGTTAGTTCATTGACAAAAGGAAATTTTCAACATGTTTTAGCATCTTAAGTGATATGTATTTATTTAAATATCAAAGAAAGATTATCTTTAAAAGGAATATAACACCTGGGTGGTGGTGGTGGAGCATACTTTTAATCCCAGCACTCAGGAGGCAGAGGCAGGCAGATCTCTGTGAGTTTGAGGCCAGCATGGTCTACAGAGCTATTTACAGGACAGCTAGGACTGTTACACAGAGAAACCCTGTTGAAGAAGGAGGAGGAGGAGGAGGAGGGAGAGGAGGAGGAGGAGAAGAAGAAAAAGAAGAAGAAGAAGAAGAAGAAGAAGAAGAAGAAAAGAAAAAAGAGAAAGAAACAAAAAGGAATATAGCAACAGCATCAAATACTAGAATCAGCTGAAATATCTAAACACAGTGATGCATACAGCGCACCCATAATCTACTCCAGAGCCCAGTCAACCTTGGGAACTGCGGATAGTAGTCAGCACCGTAAGAAGATTCAGTGGGAGAACACTTGTGGACCTGGGGTCTAACGACGGGAAGTACTTAGTGTAAAGCGGTAGGCGGTGATGAGAGGCAGAAAGCATTACACAAGGGCAAGGCTAGCCCAATCCATAAAAATCCTAAACAAACCCAAACAGGGACTGACATCCCTGGCACAGAGACACAGTTGGATAACACCAGGCCCTATCTGCTGAAGCAACAGAGCCACCCAGAGGTTCCCACTTAAGCAGCGCAATCAGCATAGGCAGGCCAGCTCTGGCCAGCTGACCAAGCAGGCAGCAAGCAACACAGCAGGTTAAGAGGGCCATCAGGTTAGGTTGGTTAAGAGGGTCTGGTCTGAGCTCCAGGAAAGCACATGGTGATGATCTCAGGGCCAACAGCTCTCCCTCCCCCTCCCAACTAGTGCACAGGGGCGTGTCCCCAACATGGTTTCTCATCATATTTTACAGTCCATCCAGGTCTATAAATGCCCTTCCTCCTGTGGCCTGTTAGAACTTACGTTTAAGTGGGTTCTCCTCTTTCTTATCTGATGTCTCCAGCTGAACTCATAACTCCCCTGCTTTCCCTCTGCTTCCACAGTGCAATGTTCCCATCACCGGGGTCAGGACCCAGACTCCTGGATAGTTCCCTCTCTGGACCTGCCTTAGGCAGAGGAGGAATGCTTCTGATCAGCAACGCCTCAGCTGGCCCTAGACTACAACACACATCTTTGAGACATTGCTTGAAGACCTCAAAGGAAGCCGCCAGGGACTAGTAATCCCATCGGACCAGTTTGCGAGGTGCCTGGGACTGCTCAGAGCTGCCCAGATAAGCAGTGACAGGAGGGAAAACAGGAAGCTCTGGTCCCAGGGTCTGCAGACAGAGAATTGGGGCTAACAGCCCAACCTGCTCTCACACTTCTGATAGGCCTGGGAGGATGGGGAAGGGTGCAGGAGCTGGATGGGAGAACAGCGCTGTCTGCTCCAAACAGGTGCCCCAAACAAAGCTGTGTCACCTTGTCCTCTGGGGGCACCTGCAAGCTTTGACAAGTGGGATCCAGCATGGGGCAGGAATGTCCTTTCTGCATTTCTGGTCTCTGTATTTATTGTCATGTCTCAGTATCAAACACAGGTTGTCAGTGAACTGGGTCTCAGAACAATCACTCGGCTTGCTGGCTTTTGCACACGGCTTGAGCTAGGTACAGTTTGAAGATTCCTCTGCAGGGCTGTGGTCACTTCTCTGTGAGTCTCTGCAAGCCACTCTGGGAAACTACCCCTCCCTGAGGAAAAACAGCTTCTTTCTCTCCCAGCTCCAACCACCTGGAAGAGAGAATAAGATTCCTGGGTGGGGGCAGGGCTGCCTCCCTGGGCACCAGCCCTTGCCGCTGGCTCCTTTTCTCAAGCTTGGGAAGAGTGAAGTAAGGAAAGACGAGGTGGGAAGGATGGGAGGACTGTAGGTGTGGGTGACGGTGCCAGGTCTGTGGAGGAAAAAGCCTGAGGCGGGAAAGAGAGGAATAAAAACCAGAAAAGTCTTGGTGGAGAAGGAGGGGCTTCAGGGCTGGAATATCTCAGGCTCCTCCTGGACGAGCTGAAGGAGGGGCAGCAGGGAACCAGAGGTTTTCCCTCTGACATTCAGAGTCACAGTCAGAAGGCATTGGTTCCTGCAAAATTCAAAAGTTTGAGGATCGTGAAGGGGTGCCACATACCACAGGGACAGCTTCCAGGTAAGTAAGACACACACACTGCAGGCATCCGCCCCTGGCCTTACGTCCCAGCAATTTTCTCATCACTTCAAATCCCTACCTTTCCCTTGGAGCCTTGATAGTGACTCAGAGATGGGTGTTCAGCGGGAAGCCATGGCAAGAATCTACAGTAACATTGGCGATCAGGCAGTGACTTCTTGCCCAGGGCCGGCTTAAAAGCCACTTTGCCATTCCCAAGTCAGCCCATAGCCACCAGAGCTGCCTCAGGCTACTGCGGCCAGAGGAAGCACAGGTAGCAGGACCAGGAAACGCTTGATTCAAGGGTCCAAGTCTTGTAACTGTCTAGGGCTCCTGTCTTCTTCTGCAGGCAGCCCTGAGCTCCCTCCCAAGAGAGGGACCCCAGAACTCACTTTGGGCAAAGTAGGATGTAGCTGGGCACTTCTAAAGAGGAAAAATTGGTCCAGTCTAGGTATGACTAAATCTGTCTTGACTCCCATTTAATCTCCGCTGAAGTTTAACCCGGGGGCATTCACAATTAGGGTGCAGCTGTATAACCTGGGGGGTTTACAGAGGAAAAGAGAACAAACAGCCTTCTCTCAAAAACTCATAGAAGAGGGACAAGGAAGCATGGGGGTTCCTGGAAGAGTCAGGGCAGGCATGGAAAGGCATTGCCAGGACAAGCAAGTGTGCATGGGTCCTGCACCAGGGATGGAGGGAAAAGGTGGTTTCCTCCTGCACGCTGACAGTACGAGGTGGGGGTAGAAAGGGGGTGGGGTGGGCTTCTCTCTCTCTCTCTCTCTCTCTATCTCTCTCTCTCTCTCTCTCTCTCTCTCTCTCACACACACACACACACACACACACACACACACACAAACACTACAGGAACATCCAGGGACACACTTTTGCCTTCCGTTCAGCGGCCTCCTCTGAAGTCATGGGCGGTCTTTCCCTAGAGACTCGACATGCAGTGGACGCTGCTGCTGCTTCTGCAGCCACTGCTCCCACTGCTGATGTTGCGGAGCCAGAGCCTGGCGGGACTTTCCCAGGAGACAATCCCCCTCTTCCGACTCACTCATCTGGGACCCTGGGACAACCACAACAGCCACGCCACCGACTCGCCCTGCCAGGGGCTCCCCTCCACGGGAGCCACGAGCCTGACCCTGGCAAACCAAAGCCTGGAGCGCTTGCCCAGCTGCCTGCCTCACACGCTGCGCAGCCTCGACGGCAGTCACAACCTGCTGCAAGCCTTCGGCGGGCCGGAGTTCAGTCGCCTGCCCGAGCTGCGCGTGCTCACCCTGAACCATAACCGCATTTCCACGCTGCACTGGGACCACGGCATGCCGGCCGAGCTCACCGAGCTCGACCTCAGCTACAACCTACTGGCCGCGCTGCCCCCCTGCTCCGGGCCCCCGGTGCGCAACCTGCGCTCGCTGATGCTGGCCGGGAACCCACTGAAGGCGCTACAGTCACGGACCTTCGCATGCTTCCCGGAGCTGCAACTGCTCAACCTCTCCTGCAGCGAGTTGGGGCGCATCGCCCACGAGGCATTCGCCCGGGAGGACGGCGGGCCCCTGGCGGCGCTGGAAGTCTTGGACCTGAGCGGCACGCGCCTTGAGAGAGGTGAGTGTGGTATGAGGGCTATGCGCGGTGTATGCGCCTCTGGGGGCATGGGGGCGGCTGGAAGTCAGGGCTGCATTCTTCCAGAGGTGGACCCAGAAACCAACCGTGTGACCCCGAAGTGCCACACAGTCGCAGAACTGCTGACAATCTCCTGGTTACATATGAGGAAACTAAGGCACAGAATGGCGGAATGACTTGACCAAAGTCTCACAGGTCTAGCGGCTAATGTCCCTAAATCCAAACCCAAGCATTCCACCAGCAGAGCTTAACACCTTAGGCACTGTTTTCTGGCTGGCTGGAAGCTGTGGGGTGGTGAGGTGGCATTGGGGCTCATGAACATATACATGAGCTTTGCCCCAAGCGTGCCAAAGAAGAATCCATTGATTTTTTTTTTCCCCTCAATTGTTTCTACAGGTGTTGGATTCTTCCAACCGGGTGTTGGAGGGAGGTGCCTTAGATTCACAGGCATGCTTTGATTGTTCTTTGAAAACACTTTACGTGTCGAGCTATCGCAGCGCATGCCTTTAATCCCAGCCCTCAGGAGGAGGAGACAGGCAGATCTCTGAATTCGAGGCCAGCCTGGTTTACAAGAGCTAGTTCCAGGACAGGAATCAAGGCATCAAAGCTACAGAGAAACCCTGTCTTGAGAAAAACAAAAAACAAACAAACAACAACAACAAAAAAAACACTTTACATGTCTATAACCCCTTGTTCACCACAGTGGTGTGAGGAAGGGTGAGTGGCAAGGGGCTAGAGAGAACAAGAAATTTTAAAAGGGGGGGGATATTCTCCATATATTGGTAGACAACAAAATTGAGTTCCTGGGGTCTCCTCCAACCATGCGCCCCGCTCCTTTCTTATGCTCCTCGAAGGCTCTTAGGAGGCATGAGAGCGAGGTCTAGCTATTTTGCATGTGGAGTTTAACCTGAGGTTGTGACAGCACCAGGCTTGGAGATAATATCCCAGGTACCCACTTATAGCTGTGTGGCCTTGGGTCAGCCATGCTTCTCTATGTTTTTGGCTAACTTGTAAGAAAGGATTAGGCCTCGCCGAGAAAGGGCCTTTCCAGGGTTAGTTATACCTGTGGCCTCCTCCGGTCGCTCATGTCTCTGTCCTCTGGGGTTCTGCGCCTTGCTGTAAGGATAACTCCCTTTGATTCCAGTTGAGTCTGGGTGGATCAGAGACTTGCCACAGCTCAAGTCCCTCTACCTGAGAAAGATGCCCAGGCTAAAGGCACTAGAGGGAGACATTTTCAAGAAGACTCCCAACCTGCAACACCTGGATTGTCAAGAATCCCCAGCGCTTACTTCTGTCAACACAGAGATCTTTCAAGACACGCCTTGTCTACAAGTCCTTCTGCTGCAGAAGTAAGTGATTCTAAGCCCAGCTCAGTCACAGGACTGATTTTGCCCATTATACTGTATTGAATTTTATATTCCATACCAGTCTTTACTGCTTCTGTCACCGCCCTTCCAAATCCTCTCTGGGCTTCTGTTCTCCCCCATCTTCCCTGTGGTATTTTAAGCAGGTGTTTCCGCAGCTTAATAGCTAGCAATGAGGAGACAAGGATGTTGGGTCTTCTCTCTACTGGAAGCCCCTTCGTTCCCCCAGTGATGCCATTTCAGTCCGTCCCAGGGTATGAGTGGGGCTGGGAGGGAAGGAGGCAGAGTAGGAAGGTTTACCATGCAGTAGGATCTGGACTTGGCCCTCTTCTTCTAGTAGCAGTCATTGGCTTGACTTCTCAGAGTAGCAGAACACTTAAGAGGACCCCAGGCCACCTCTGTTCAGTGTGGCCCACATCTGGGACTTGTCATTTGTCATAGAAGCATCCTCTTTTCTCCCTTTTGGTAGGGATGGGGTTAGAGGAACTTCCAGACCACTGTCCAGTCCCTTCTCCCCTCTTTGATCAAGTTTACAGATGGACAATGAGCCAGTAACCCCCGTGGCATCCCTTGTCTTGAACAGGGTGTAGAGCAATTCTCTTTGGAATCTGAGCACCTCAGCCAGCCCCTGACTCGGTGCTCTCAGCCTGTATGGTTTCTGTTGACCCTAAGCCTAAAACAGTCCTGCTGGAAATACCAGTTATTTAACAGTCTGTTCTGTGTCATTGGCCGTTTGTAAAGGATTTAAAGTAGCAGCATTGCACCTTAGTTCTGCATGAGGTTCTGTGTTCCCTGACCCACCTGGGCCTGGCATTGTCCAGGGGACAAAGACCTGCACGAAGATGGTGTCTTAGAGGCGCTACAGGGCTTGCCACATGATGGATAAAGGTGGTGCTGTGGCTAGCAATTCCAGGGTAGCCTAGGAGTGTGTCTGTTTAGTTCTCTTTTGCCCAGTGCAGGTGCCAAAGATGGAACTGCTTTTCCTTAAGAGTAAATACTTGTCCTTCATTCAGTAACCAGATACTAAGCACACATGGTGTGGAGGGAAAACATTTTGTGGTTATGATGCCTTTGAGCTTGATAGAAATACAAAAATTCAAAGTAAAAAGAATGAAACATTGGAAAATTATATAAAGTGATACATAAATATAACACTGGTTCTCCCTTTGGGGCTTTTCACTTGGAAAAAGCAAATGGGAGGCCTTAAATTCATTTCTGGAGTATAGGAGGTGTCTAGAGAATAGAAGAAGGGAATAGAGAGGTGGCTTAGGGAGAAAGGAACTTGCTATGCAAGCATAAAGACCTAGTTCCAATCTCTAATGTTCCAGGCATGGCAGTGCACATCTATAACAGCAGCATACTGGGGTGCAGAAACAGGTGTCCCCCCGCAATGTGCTGACCAGCCTCAGCCAAATGGCCAACTTCAGGTTCAGTGCAGAGACTGTGCCTCAAAAAATAAGGTGGACAGCAATTGAGGATGACATTCTGACGCCAACCTCTGACATCCACAGGCACATCCATGGATACACATTCCCATGTTCACATTGATAGGCACATCCCTGCCCCATTCTCTCTCACACAAATGTTAATACTAACTGGTGGAGAGGATGCTGGTGATGGTGACAGCAATGACAGTAGCGATGATGACTGTATGGTAATAATGGTGGTAGTGAAGCTGCCGATGCTGAAGATGGTGGTCATGACAGTAATGATGATAATATAGCCCCATCTTTCAACAAGGCCACAGTTTTAGTGTAGGAAGCAGGTGACTGCCAATAGAACAAGCCATCGTGAGTCACAGCAGAGGCACACACCCTGTGCTGTGTTATAAAGCAGGTAGTGGTAGTGGACCCTCAGGCTGGGGAAGGGAGGCTTCTGTAGGAAGGGCGTGAGGGAGCCATAGCTCTGTACAGCTCATGCTGCCCATGATGAATTGTAACTGTGAAGAGCAGGGAAGGAAAATCTAAGAGTCAAGGAGCTCAGAAGATGTGAAGAGCCCAGTTCAAACATTCTGTCAGACTCCAAGGAAGAAACAGGAGAGACAGCCAAGAGTGGATCTGCCATTGTTAGGGGTAAGAAACTGTAAATATGCCTAGAGTAATTCTCCACCACCCCATTCCCCCGTTCCTGTCTGTGATTGCTCATCTTCACCCATCAAAAGCTTGACGCTTGGAGCATGGTGACTTTAAGCCAGTGTTGTATTAGCAAATGTAGACAGAAAGAAGAAAGCCGTGAGCCGGGTCTGTTTTCTCTTTCTCTTGGAGCCCCGACCGCCAAGTGATGCTCTAGGCTGACCTCCCAGGTGGTAAGAGGTGCATGGAGAGCCCACACACCCACTTGAGGCTCTCTATAGGTGAGGTAGTCCTACATCACCTGGTCCAGGAGAGCCTGCCCACACCAGCAACTACAAAGGCACCCCAAGAATCTGTGAATGAAACCAAGGCATTTGTAAGCTTCTACGTGTTGGTGCCATCCTCCACTTAACAAGGGCTACTGTGCACTAAGTGAGGCATGGTATAAGTATTGGCATTGTGCCATCAGCTATGGTCCAGTTCTAGCACTCAGTTGTTTTCTTATTTCTGGTTACATTCAATTTGCTAATATCCTCCTAGCCTAAGTCAGCCACCATGTTTCAAGGGGTAGAGAACTACAGATTAGCTTTGGATGGGGAGAGATGCAATCACATTGCAAAGGTACTTGCCTACAGAGATGAGAGAACCTATGGCCATTCTTACAAATAGTCCACCATACTCAGCAATGGCAAACCCACTCCTGGATCTACCCCTACCCCTTTCTTTCCTGGAATTAAACAGAACCTTCGTCCTAGATTCATCCCACTCCCTGGGTCTCTCAGCTTCCTCAGGGGTGTTTTCACTAAGAGTTTTGGATTAAGAGTGGTAAAATGTTTACCTAGTATATGTGAGGCCCTGGGTTCAATCCCCAGCACCCACCTTTAACAATCATATCTACTATCTACTTTTTGCGTAGTGATTTGTATTTACTAACACATTCATTATCACAGACTTTTGATAAAAGCACTTGGCATTGGGTACTTTCTCTGTTCAATGAGTTAATAATGACTTGTTTGGTTGGCAAAATAGGAGGTCTAAACTCATTTTGGGTTCTACTCAGAGTTCTATCATTGGCAGATTGTTTTTCCACAATCCTGCTATGACTCTTAGGAACACTTCTTTTTCTTTAAGGTTTAGTTATTGAGGGCTGGAGAGATGGCGTTAAGAACACTGGCTGCTCTTCTAGAGGGCTTAAGTTCAATTCTCAGCAACCACATGGTGGCTCACAGCCATTTATAGTGGGAACTGAAGAGCTCTTTCAGTATAAAGGAATACAGGCAGATAGAACACTCATGTGCATAAAAAATAAATAAAAATCTTTTTTAAAAGATTTAATTATTTTTATTTCACGTGCATGTTTGCGTTGCCTGAATCTATGTCTGTACCGTGTGTGCAGTGCCCATGGAAGCCAGATGTGAGAACCTCTGGAACTGGAGTTATAGCTGGTTGTCAGCCACCATGTGGGTGCTGAGAACTGAACCCAGATCCTCTAGAAGAGCAGCCAGTGCTCTTAACCCCTGGGTCATCTCTCCAGTCCTTGTGGGAACATTGTGAACCTAATTGTTCAAATGGAACCTAAAAGCATGACTTAACTGGTGTGTGTGTGTGTGTGTGTGTGTGTGTGTGTGTGTGTGTGTGTGTCATTTCAGCTGCAACTTGAGCTCTTTTGGTCCTTGGATTGTGAATTCCTCCCAGGTCTTATCTGTCGGCCTTTTTGGCAACCCTCTCACTTGCAGCTGTGAACTGGCTTGGCTTCTCGAGGATGCAAACAAAACGGTCTTATACAGGTAACACATTTACCAAACGGATGGCTGTGAGGTGAGCTCAGCCTTCCAGAGTTGGAGTTGTCCCAGCTCATGTCTTACCCATACACCACGTGGGCATTCACCCCAGTGTAGTCAGACAGGGGGGATGGGGGCTATACTTCTACTCCAGCCAGCCAGAAAAAGCAAAGAACATGGGAAAACTGACTTGGGAGTTTTTAAATGGACGAAGCTGCCAGATGGTGCTCCCCAGTTCCACTCATATTGATTGGCCAACAGTTAGTGGACGGGGCACAGCTAACTGCAAAGGAGGCTGGGAAATGTAGTCTGCATGCCCTGTAGGGAAAGGAAAACCAGCTGTACCATTTCCGCCTTTTACAGACAAAGGAATGGAGCCCAAGCAAGTGAGGCACTTGATAAATTCATGCGGCTATTGAAGGAGGCAGTATCCGTCTCTGTCTACATCTGCGCTCTTAACCACTAGGTCCCTTGCCCCCCTCCCGAAGATGGCCTAGCTTCCTGCTCTTGGCCATTCAGCCTAAGCCCAGTATGCTTACAGAACTTTCTCAAGGGCAGGAAACAAATTCTAATGGCATCTCTTAGCTTAGAAGAGCTTTTTTTTTTTTTTCTAAGATGCACCAAATCCCTTGACAATCAGGGCCTCCCTATGTCGGTAAAAAGGATGTTGTGAGCACACGCTGAAGCAAAAAGTACAGCTTTATTCCATTTCCTATTGTAGGTATGACTGTCGCACTCTGTGGGGATGACAGTTCCTACTGCACAGTGCTCCCAGGTTTATGCTCTGACATTGGCTAGCTATGGCATCTTGGGCAGTTAGCACCTCCCTCCGGTTTCCTTCTCTGCCCAGAAGAAGGGATGGTAGGAACTTCCTTCAAAGGTTTCCTAGGTCAATAAAATAATGTTACTAGGTGATGCCTGGTAGATATGTGTTGGCAAAGGAGATCCCCACATTGAGGGTTTAAAATCCTGAAACCAAGTATCTCCTAATGATTAATTTTCCCTCCAGGGCACTAGATACCATGTGTGAGCCGGCTCCAGGAGCCGAGGGCCCCTTCTCTGGCCCTCTCTCCCTCACCCAGCTGTCTACCGTGTGCAGGTCAGACCAAAGCACCACCCTCATGGCTTCAAACCTGCCCCACTTTGATCATCCAGTTTCTGCACCGCGGACACAGGGGCCTTCCATTGGACAGAGCACGACCCTGTCCGCTCAGCCCGGAGGAAGCCAGCAAAATATCACTAAGGTCTCTTCCCACACCGTGGCTTCTCTTACACAAGGGTCACAGGTGCATAGCGATACTCCAGAGGAAGCTACCCAGGCCACTGCTGACTCTGTGACTGTTCACAGCCCCTCCAGGGCTCGGCCTGGTGCTGCCGGCACCGGGGCAGAACATATTCCCACACATATCCCTGAGCCCGGTATCTCACCTGCCTCCACCACACTGCCTGGCAAACACCTTGGGCCCTGGCCTACTTCACCAAACCCCAGGAGAGTCTCTCAGACCAACCAGAGGACACAAGCCACCACCGGGGTTCTCCGCACACATCCTCCGCAAGACGAGATCCCAGTCTTGCTGTTAGATGACAACAGTGAGGAAGAGGAGGAGACTCAGCAACAGGTGGCAGCCCCTCACCAGGATGTCTCTTGCGATTACCACCCCTGCAAGCATCTGCAGACCCCATGTGCAGAGTTGCAGAGGCGCTTCAGATGCCGCTGCCCTGGCCTCAGTGGGGAAGACAGCATCCCAGACCCTCCCAAGCTGCAGGGGGTTTCAGAGATGACCGACACATCAATGCTCGTTCACTGGTGTGCCCCCAACTCAGTGGTGCACCGGTACCAGATCAGCTACTTGGCAGAAGGAGGATCTGGGAATCAGTCAGTAATGGACATCTATGCTACAGCCCGGCAGCACCCACTGTACAAGCTGTCACCAAGCACTACCTACTATGTGTGTGTACAGGCAGCCAACAGGGCTGGCCTGAGCCAGCCGCAGATCTCAGGCTGGAAGAGGTCATGTGCTTCCTTCACAACCAAGCCCAGCTCTGTGGTCATCTTCTGGGGACTGTGTACCTCCAGTGGCCTGTTACTGGTTAGCACCCTCGTGCTCTCTGTGTGTCTCTGGAGGCAGCGCTGGAGGCCACACAGGCAGTTCTATGACACTGACCTGGTGGCCTTCAAAAACCCGGCCAGGGCTGAGGAAGTAACTCAGTGGTAGTGACTTACCCATGCACAAGGTCTTGGATTTATCCCCAACATCAAAATCAGACACATTTGAGGCCTTGGATTAATCTCTAGCAGCCAAATGAAACAACAGGCCAGCCTTTGACCACCTGCTGAGGCTCCAGACCTGCAATTATCCCAGCTTCTTTTTTCCAGTCAAACATCTGCATGCAGAAATTGTGATCTAATACCTAAAACAACCACAAGTTGTACATTTCCCAAAGTCTAGACGTGGTCTTACTTGCAACCCATACTGGCCTCAAACTCAGACCCTTCTGTCTCTCTCTCCAAATGCTGGGGTTACAAGAGTTTGGAGAGGAGGCAAAATTGAACCCACAAACAGTGTTTATTTCTAGTGTAAGAAAAAATTGTTTGAATCCATCTCTGTCTCCAGAACAGGTTGCAGCACAAATACCATGCTGCAGAAAGCAAGCATATCCTAGTTAGACCCGAGTATGAAACACACTATACACTTCGGAGTGACTAAGTTATTCAAGCATGTTTTCAACATACTAACATATAGCCCTAGTTTCATCAAATATATGCCCAAGAGAATTGGAGTAAGCGTTTGAAAGCCCTCCCCTAGAGCCTGCTTAAAAAGCTACAAAAGTCAAACATGTGGATGAGTATTGTCCTAAGTAATTAAACGGCCCCAGTGTTCTTAGCCTACACTATGCAGACACTGAGATAAGTTTGTCAATCAGCATATACAAATATATACCCTAGTATTTTCATTCAAAACAGCTCTAGTATATTTTTTTAAAATGAATAGAATGCTGAGCAGTAGTGGTGCACACCTTTAATCCCAGTACTCGGGAGGCAGAGGCAGGTTGATCTCTGTGAGTTCAATACTGACCTCATCTACAGAGCTAGTTCTAGGACAGCCAAGCCTACACAAAGAAACCCTGTCTTGGGAGAAAAAAAAAAAGACGATGTATTTTTTTTTTAACAATTTGGTATAAAAACAATCGTGAGGACGTTTGAACTATTTTGTAAGAGGAGATATGGAAAAAGTGATGAACAGAGCTAGAGCAAAACCCCTCTTACTAAGGCTACTATGAAACAACAATAACCACATAAGCAACTATAGTAGAGCAGAATAAACATCTAATTTCCTCCCTAAGCACTTTGACATCTTTTTATTTGACATCTCTGTGGGCTCGCCATCCCGGATGCTCCAGCAGTCCCTGTGTCTCTAGTCTCAGCGTCTCAAAGTTAGAAACTGTAGGGAGAGCTGAGGCGGGGCAGCCCCCAGGCTTGCCCCCCCCCATCCCTCTTCCCTGTGAATCATGGGTAGGGTCTTCTATACTCCAAGGCCACGGCAGCTGCATTTGTCACTTTTCTATTACTTCGACAAAACATCAGGACCAAGGCAACTTACAGAAAGAAAGGTTTATTTAGCTTGTGGTTCCAGAGGGGCCAAGAATCTGTCACGGCTGAGAGGTTGCGAGTAGGTAGTCATGGCAGGTGGAGCTTAATGTTGAGAGTTCATTTTTTTGGGGGGAGGTCTAAGTAAACTTTTCGTTGTTGTTTACTTTTATTGATTCTTTGCAAATTTCTCATCATGCTTCCCAATCCTACCCACCTCCCACCCCCATCCCCTCTCTCCCCAAAACAAATGAACAAACAAAACAAAGGAAAACCAACAAAACAAAATAAGCAACAACAAAAGAAGAATCTTGTGGAAGCTGTAGTGTGGCCTGTTGAGTTACGCAGTTCACCCAAGGCCCTTTCGTCTTCAAGTGTTCTTGCTAGGAGTCACTGGGTCTGGCTCAAGGTTATTGATAATAGGCTCTCACTAGATCTCCCCTTGGATATCCTGTTGTTTGTCCTGTGTCCTGGGGATTCTGCAGTTTTGGATGCATAAGTTTGTCCCCTTCACCTGTTCCAACAGTTCATAGATATGGTGGATGTTCAGGTGGGCCAATTTATGGCCCTGGTTCTGGGCCTGGGTGGTAGCTGGGCTGGCCAGCCTACCAGCTCTCCTCCATTGTCACCCCCGGGGTGAGCTCTCCAGCACTGTCTTGGTGAGCTCTCCAGCCCACCCAGCCTGCAACAAGGAGCGGGGCCAGTTTTCTTGCTCTCGGCCCCATGGGTCTGGCTCCCCCACAGATACCACCAGAGCCAGCTCCACTGTCTTGCCCAGGCAAAGGGGCAGGGCCCTCTCTCCCCATTGCTGTACTCGGAGAAGAGGGCATGGGACAGTGAGGCCAACTCTCCTGTTCTCAAGCCCTTAGGGCTGGCTCACCTGCATCCCAAACAAGGTTAGCTCTAGTGTGCTGCCTTGGCAGGGTGAAGGGTCTGCTCTCCTGTGTACCACAGCAGTGAAGTGTCAGGCTAATTCTCCTACTCTCGTGTGACCTCAGGCAACAAGTAGGGGGCAGGCAGCTTTTCCTCACCTATACCACCATTGGGGGCTGCAGACCCGTGGTTCTTTGACTTTCTTTGCCTGCCTCAGCCCCTTTGCCTGCTAGAGTGGAACTGAGCAAAACAATTTGTTTGCCTGTGCCTGCAGCTGCTCTGAGTACGAGACCCGGATGGCGGGGAGTGGGCTCTGGTGAGGCCGAGAGCTGGGGCGTGGCTATCAGTTAAGGATCCCTATATAAGCTTCCCTGGAGCACAATAAATTTGGCATTTTTGTATCAAGAATGACCCGTGCCCCTGTGTCTCTGCCTGTGTGTGTGTGTGTGTGTGTGTGTTTAAGTCTCTAGCTTAGTTCCCGGTTCACATACCAGCTCGCATACTGTCCTGTAGTGCAGGCGCTACATACCACCACATGGCTGACTAGTGGGTGAGGGACCATTTCTCCAGCCCTCATACCCTCAGGGCTGGCTCACCTACAACACCATGTCAGCTCTAATGTACTGTCCAGGTGGTGTGCAGGGCTGGCTCTCCCATGTGCTGCGGGGCCCACTTGTGTGCTTCAGGCAGTGAGGGAAAAGGCTCATTCTCAAACTTTTGTGATACGAGAGGCCATTCCCCTCGCTCTTGCCGAACACCATGGCCCTGGGACACCAACAGTCTCCTGGCTGACCAGATCCATGTGGCCTTTGGTGGTACCACGGGCCGTGGACATCATCTCAGACCCTGGCTGCTGTAGAGCCACGAACCCAGACATGGCCCAAGCAGCAGCCCTGGCCTAGATGATATCACTGAGATCAGCATGGCCCTGGTGGCAGCAAGGCCCTCAGACATTCACAGACCCCCAGGCATCAGTGTGGCCATTGGTGGCAACATGGGCCACAGACATCAATACAGATCCTGGCTGTGGTAGAACCATAGCCCCAGACGGCAGTGCACGCCCCCCAACACCAATTAACACCAAGTGGTGGTCCAAACTACAGGCCTCTGCGTGGCCCTCAGTGCCAACAGGAGTCAGACGTCAATCCAGCTGCTTCAGATCAAGATTAGCCCAACAGGTCCAGCCATCACCTCGGACTCAGGTGGCAACAAGGCCTTTCACACTGGCCTGTTTCTCATCACCCTCCCCTCCTCAGATCTGGCTCTCTCCAGCCCATGGACCTCTCTACCTTACTCTCTTTCACTTCCCCATACTATATTTGCTCACCATGATGGTGTCTTGGTGTTCCTACCAGCCATATGGCATGACCTGGATCCATTGTTGCTGTGTCCCAGCCCACAGTCTCTAGCCCACTGTGTAGCTAGAGTCCACAGCGGCTCCTAGTTGAGTCCTGCACCACCAGCGGCATGGCATGGAGCCGTTGCTGTGCTGCGGGCAGGGGCTAGGGCGCAGGGCCCTCGGGCAGTGTTCAACCAAGCATGGCGCAGAGCATTTGCTTTTGCAGCCAAGGGCTGGAGTCCCCAGGCAGCTCCTGGTTGGGCGGAGCTGTCGCTGCGTCAGAGGCCTGGGGCTGCGAGGGAACGGGGAATCAAAAGCACATGGCTTTGAAACCTCCGAGCCTGAAACCTCAGGAGTATGACATGCTTCTTCCAGCCAGGCCACACCCCCTAAATCTCTCCCAAATGGTGCCAGTAACTGGGGACAAAACATCCAAACACCCAAAACTTCGGGACATTCTCATTCAAACCGCCACAGTAGATAATCTAGTACCTGACGACATGAGAAGCCAGGACCAACAAGAGTTGCACCAACAAAAAACGCAAGGAGGCTTGAGTTAGTTATCTCTAACTTCTGTTTTAACACAGCTCAACAAGCTGACTGCAGAGCTGATGGGGATTCCCCTCTGTATGCTGTGAACATGTTTTATTACCATTGGTTAATAAAGAAGCTGCTTTGGGCCTATGGCAGGGCAGAATAGAGCAAGGCAGGAATTCCAAGCAGAGAAACAGGAGCAAAGAAGGCAGAGTCAGAGACATACCAGGTAGCTGCTGAAGGAGAAAGGTCAGCCATCAGCCACAACCTTACTGGTAGGCCACAGCCTTGTAGTAATACACAGATTAACAGAAATGGGTTAATTCAAATAAGAGTTAGCTAGAAATATGCCTAAGCTATTGGCCAAGTGGTATTTTAGTTAATATAGTTTCTGTGTGATTATTTTGGGTCTGGGTGGCCGGGAAATGAATGAGCAGAGTTTTACTATATGGTTCCACATTACACTTAGGTTAAAACTAAGGAGAAAGGTCAACCAAAGGCTTCCAGTATGTAGAGGAACCCCCAGCTTTCTGACCCTACCTGCACCCCACTATCCTAAACACAAGGTGTGGCAGGTGTTCTTTCAAGTAAAATGGTCCTGAACCAGTTATTTTTACCACGTAAGGGGAAGTGCTGCATCTTACTGCACTTCATAGATTGGGAAACTTCAACAATTGCATAAAGACACACCATGGAACAAACCAAGTGAAAGACATGTTTTCCCCAGCACTTTTATTCTTTTATTGAGTTAACAATAGAAGATTCTCCAAAGCTTAAAAAAAAAAGACTCCGAAAAATATAAAGTTTTATATTATTTACATGACATATGAGTACAGGTTACAATATCATACAAATCACATGTGAAGTAGTGGGGAGGCATGATGTAATTCTCTGCCTTTTAGATTCCTGTGTTACCTGTTATCCTAATACATAAACTATTTGGTACCTGAGAGGCTGGAAGACTACTGATAAACTCCAAGACCATCTATTTTATTTGCTCTTTTTTATTTTCAAAACTCTGTGCATTTTAAGTCTCTGTATACCTTTACCCTGCCCACAGCTAAGTTTATTCTCATCTTTTCAAACAGTCAAGTATCAACCCCATAAATTGTTAATGTGTACATAGACTTAAAATTCAAACATAAAAATGCGCAGCCACGCTGTGTAGGGTATATACCTAATCTCAGGAAAGCTCTCCTGCTTTTTTGTTTCAATGCTATCAACGATGTTTTTAAAAAACAGTAACTAGAATAATTCATCTCACAAATTAATCAAAAACTTAAGATTAAAAATTCTACATTATAGTTTTATTTGTATTTAAAAATACACTGGAAATTCTGCATAGGCCCATGATAGAGCTTATTTTCAACGTACATTACTTCGGTTTGAAGACATGGTTTGTCTGACAAGTCCTTTCTCAAGCTGAACACCAAGATGGGGAAAGTCCTGTAGCTTTCGCTGGCGCTGCTATCGACGATGCAAGTCGCTTCCTTGCTGCTGGAGCTGGGTGTCTCTCATTTGCCCTTTATCACCTGAACAGTTTTCCGACCATAGTGATAATAACTGTATGCTGACGCAGCTGTAGTGAAGGCTGTGCAATACCTTGGGAGGGGAGAAATGGGACTCAGCTGTCAAATCTAAAAACACTAACAGCAAAAATCATAAAGTACACATGTAAAAGATGGACTAAGAAAATAGAACTGTGTGACAGAATTGTCTAGCTAACAAAAATCTAAATCCATTACTTCCTTCCTGTAAGACATCTGAATTGGTGATGCCAAATAAGTCATCTAATCATCAAGGCCTACAATCCAATTAGCAGTCCTAGCAACTGTCCTTTCTGACTACAACCGTAGGTGCTCTATGTTCTCTTTTTCTCCCATGAAAACATGTTCAGACAGACAGAATGGAGACAACTGTAAAAAGACTGGAGAAATATGGCGTAAATCTAGACTGCTCCTACTTAGACGGCTTGGCACATATCTAAATTACCTTGCATTACCTTGAAGCAAAAACAGAAGAACCAAGTTATACATGGATGCAGTTTGAGAGAGAGAAAACCTTCACTAATGAATCAAAACACACACAAAAAACCCTTTCATTTTATGTAAGAAAATAAAGTTCAGATTGTATCATTTTTAAAAGTCTTTAGCATAATTTACTTTGGTTAACAAGCCACCTTTGTTTCAGACTGCTAAAGCATGTTTTAATTATAATTAAAAGTTTACTAAAATATAGTTCAAAATCAATAATGATAGTCTATATGGAATGCTTAAAATTTAAGCTGACCCATTTCAAGACATTTACAAATAATCACAAATAAGCTTTCTTGTCGGACTTTCTTTAGACTACTAGCCCCTAAATAATGACACAGTGACTTATTAATTATGAAAGCTTGACCTTAGCTTAGGCTTGTTCCCAACTAGTTCTTACTATTTAAATTAATCCGTTCCTGTTAATCTACATTCTGCCACATGGCTCTTTGCCTTTCCTCTACTCTGTATGTCCGACCCCTCCATGTCTGGCTGATGAATCCTACCCTCCTCTCTCTCAGAAGTCCCACTTACCCTTTCCAATGCTATTGGCCATTAAGTTCCTTATTAAAACAATTGCAATGACACATCTTCACAGTGCACAAAATGCACTTAGCCAGTCAATGGTTTTCAGGTCCTGCTAACAGAAGCGGGCTTAGTGCCATCATGTGCAGGAGGTTTTAAATCCAATCAGAAAGTAGTTGGTTATTCCCAAAATATTTGTGCCACTTCTGCAAACATTTGCTATTAAAGATTTCAGAGTTCAAAGCTGGGCAAACTGTTGCTTATGAGAACCTGTTTAGTACCCAGCTGCAAACAGAAGAGCTATACATCACATTCCCTATCCCCAAAGCTTAGAGATCATCATGCAAGAAGTAGGAGAAAATTTTAAGAGCCAGAAGCAGTGGGCATTTGCAACAAAAATAGTACTTACTGAACATGATGGTGACACTATACACATAAACTTATAGTGGCTATGACTGTAGGCATGCATTAAGAATAGCACAAACCAGCCAAAATGTCTGCATGAAGAAAAGTTGGGACTCATGAAATTCTACCCCTTTCTAAGATGCTACTGGCAACTGATGCCTGCTAGGGGAAAAGAGAATTGGTTTCCTTCAGGTATATGGTTCCTTAGAGATTACCATGTTCTAGTAGAGGGTATTATATACCTGCGCACATACAACTAGCATTAAGTGGACTCACAGAGCATTTAGAAAGAAAAAAAGACAGCAAATAAAACCAGGAAAAGTAGTAGAGGAAAATAATTGAAAGAGAAAAGGGGGTGGCCAGAATTTTGTCATCTAACTTCAAGAACAAAGTCATGCTAGGATTGTCACAATAAGCCATTGTACTCATTATTCTCAGAGTAATTCTAAATGTAGCTTACCACAGTATCTGAAGATAAATGCTGTCAGCATAATTGAAAACCGGAGCTGCCAAAGAAGCTGCCACCAAAATTAACTGGACTGCTGTATTTACCTTAAAAATAAAGGCATTATAAATGAACGGTGCCAAATGGGTCATGTTTTAAGCTTTCGAGGCAAAGGTATACTCATCATGACACACTCTAAGCATTGTGGATCAAACAGTGTTACCCATGCCAAAGTTGGCCTCCCAGGTGAGAATACCTAACAGGTCAGAATCAACAACTAACCTATCTGCCTACATCATGTTATTTACAGCAAGGGTGCTGACAACTATCAGAAGGGACATCTTGATTCCCGCAGCAATTCAAGGGTGCTAGAAAACTTTTTACCTTTTTTCCTTGTTACCCATCCAAACAGCTCTGTAAATATGAAATAATGAAGTGGTTTCTCCCTGGGTGAAAGAATCACAGCAAGCAACAAAGCCAAACCCAGAACCCAGACTTCCAAGGCCGTTTCCTTGCTGCCTGCCACACCCTGTGAGGTCAGAAACTGAAAAAATTCATTGCCATGAAATCTTCTGGGGAAATAAGCACTGCCTATCCTCAACAGCACAAAATAGAGCCCAAAACAGTCTGAAGACGACATTCTATGAAGCAATCTGAGTATGATGCAGCTAAGGAAGGTGCAGAGACACATCTTCGTCCTATTATTTATCCTTCAGTCAAAGGACAGTGATCAGTGGGATTTTTTTTTAAATAAACAATAAATTCTGCCTGAGAAACCTTCTGTGAGAACAGTGTTTATTCTTTATCCAAACTAACCAAAAGGCAGAGAGAGACTATGCAAATTAACAAAATCAGAAACAAAAATGGGAACCTAACAACAGACATGGAGAAAACCCAGAAAATCATTAGGTCATATTTCAAAAACCTGTACTCCACAAAATTGGAAAACTTAAAGGAAATGGACAATTTTCTGGATAAATATCACTTACCAAAATTAAATCAAGACCAGATAAGCAAATTAAATAGACCTCTAACTGCTAAAGAAATAGAAAGTCATCAAAAGTCTCCCAACTAAAAAAAAAAAAAACCCAGGACCAGATGGTTTCAGTGCAGAATTCTACAAGATTTTCAAAAAAGAATATCAATACTCCACAAATTGTTCCACACAACAGAAAGAGAAGGAACATTGCCAAACTCTTTTTCTGAGGCTACAATTACCCTGATATCCAAACCACACAAAGAAACGGAATTACAGACCAATCACACTCATGAACATTGATGCTAAACTGGTCAATAAAATACTGGCAAAATGAATCTAAGAATACATCAGAAAAAAATCATCCACCATGATCAAGTCAGCTTCATCCCAGAGATGTAGGGATGGTTCTACATACGAAAATCTCTCAATGTAATCAACCATATAAACAAACGGGGAAAAAAAAAACACCACATGATCATCTCATTAGATGCTGAAAAAGCCTTCAACAAAATATAATATCCCTTCATAATAAAAGTCTTGGAGAGAGCAGGAATATAAGGAACATACCTAAACATAATAAAGGCAATATATAGCAAGCCAAACTAAATGGAGAGAAACTCAAAACAATATGGTGTTCTGATCACATGGAGCCAAGAAAAGCACAAAAGACTATAATCTTGCATCTCAAGAAGCACTTAAATGTCACCTTTTATCTGCCCTATGATCTCATTCAAGATAATTTCTTATCCCATCAATAAAGACAAACTACATATACCAAAGATCTAAAAAAATTTAGAAGACAGAAGAATTAACTTCAGACTGTCTACCTGACCCCTCTTCTAGCCCCTCTAATCAATGCATTTAAATGTCTCATTCTCAAGTTGATTAAGATGGCCAGCAATCAAAAGTGCCTGTAGCCAAGCCTGACAACCTGAGTTCAATTCCCAAGACCCACAGACAAAAAGAGAAAATTGACCTACAGTGATATTTCACTTGTATTTTAATAAATAAAGCTTGCCTGAAGATCAGAGAGTAAAACAACCATCCTGGTCAACCTTACAGACCAGGCAGTGGTGACACACACCTTTAAACCCAGCAGCCACACTAGTTTGCCACAGAAACCAGGCAGTAGTGGTGCACGCCTTTAATCCCAGCCCTAAAGAATATAGAACGGGAGGAGACAGTTCTCAAACACAGTCCCATTCTGAGATTCCTGGAGGCAGGATCGCCATTTCGGACTGAGGTAGAGGAAAGAGCAAGTGGCTGGCTGTTTTGCTTTTCGGGCCTTCAGGTTGAACCCCAATATCTGTCTCTGGGTTTTTACTAATTGTGCTACACTGATCCCCACAAGATGCCTCTGCCCTCTGGACATGAGCATGCACACACTCGCACACAAATGTTTAAGAATGCTTTTATTCTGAGCTGCTCCTGACTGAGACTTATATGCATTCTATTATAATAAAAGTTCATAAAGGACAGGCTTCTTTACAAGGCTGCTGTGAGTCTCTTACCTTGCTGATGAATGTGGGCTTCAACCTAGCAGTAGCATAGCAAGGATTGAAATACTTAGCTAGTGTTCGCTGCCAAAAGAAAAAAAAAGTTTCAATTTACTGTTCAGGTTTCAAACAAAAGTTATCAGTGTTTACCCTATGTCTAGCCCCAATGTACTGCACTATGTACATACCTTTCTAATCATTCTAGGCTATTGAAAATAAGATTCTTCAAACTGTAGATTTGTCAAGTCCTACAAAATTATTCCACTCTTCTATGACATATTAAAAATAACATCTGGATCATTCATGGTGAGGCTAAATGAAACAATATACAGCTTGGAACTATGAAACACCTATAAGAATGAGCTGTTTGGTGCCTGGCAAGCTGCCCTGGGTTTCATATATACTATCAACTGAAATTAGTTTTTGTTCTGTTTGAGATTAGGATCTCACTGTAGCCCTGTAAACCCCAGACTAGTCTCAATCTCATAAAGATTCACCTGCTTCTGCCTCTGGAATGCTGAGATAAAAAGCATGTGTCATCATACCCAGAAAGAAATCCATCTTTTAAAGCAGACTATGAGTGTGTTCAAACTGCAGGGTAATTTTTTTCAAATTCCCATTAAAAAACAATTACTATAAACTATTCTCATAAAGTGAAATTACAGTCAATAGAGTAAATATTTATGAGTAATGCTAAAGGAATATTTTGTGAAACTTACCGGTGTTGGCAGAGTTCGGTATCTGACATAAAACACTGCAGCGATCAACATTACATCTCTTGAAATGATCATGTAAGTGAGAGGGACTGAAAATCAAATATAAAAACCAGAAATGAGGAGTCTGAAAATTACAAATAGATACTTTGACTGCAGAAAAGCCTCAATCAGCCTCATACTACTTGATGCTTTCCATTAGTAAAATCTTTGTAATAAATACTTATTGATGATTCAGGCCCCTACAGTGAAGCTCTGCTCTTTTTATTCCTTCTTGTGATCAGAATGAACCGCAGACTCTGGCTCTGTGACTTCCCTCCGCTCACCACTTTTATTCTCTCCCATGTCTGTCTATAAACTGCAAGCCTGTACATCATAGTGGAGCCACACTCGGCCTCCCCATCCCCCACTCTTCTCAGCTTTGTGATTCTGGGAAAAAGATGTCCTGGTCACTGGAACTGGATGTAAAGTAACGAGAAGTGAATGGGGATGTAAGGGAAGTTAAAATATCCTGAGGTCTCAGTATCCCTTGTATCTGAATTGTAGTCTACTCTCTAAAGAGTGTCTACATACAGTTTACAGAAATACAAAATATGTTCACTCTTGTTGAGCTAGTTCCTACACACACAACTATTATTCTTCTCCCTACCTCACCTGTCAATTCTTATCACAGGCTGAGTGTCCCTTATCCAATGTGCTTGGACAAGAGATGTTTCAGTTTCTTGGATTTTGGAATATTTGCACATTGCCAGCTGAACATCACTAATCCCCCAACAACCCAAAACCCCTAGCTGCTTGCTACTGGGGATACTCAACTCATATTCCTCAGATTTTCCAGCACGGTCCCAGGGCCATAGTCAATAGGAGGATATGTTAGGTGGGAGGACAGAGAACTTACTTCACTTTAGAGCCTTCTGTACCATACAAAGTTTAACACACAATCCTGTATCTTTCACAAAATAAATCTGATGGGAAAAAATCCTGAATTCAAATCATGGTTTACCGATATCCTTCCCATGGTACTTTCAAACAGCTCAGAGGTAATCTGAAGCAGTGTTTAGGGTCCTATCCAGTTCTGACATACTATTGACTCTGTACCTGCAATTGCAGAGCAAAATGGATTTGCCTTGGTCTCACCCTCCACGACAGTGCTGCTTCAAAGAGAAAAATGTGTCTAGCAGAGCATATGACTCTAGTAGCCAGGCTACAATGAACCATGTGGATCATGATTTTTAGATGCACTTCCTTAATTATTAAGCAAGCATTTCTATAGTAAGCATCAGCAGATAAATTAACAATAACCATAGTTTAAAAGCAAGTTAAACCATTAACTGTGAGGAATCCGTGCCGGGATAGAGGTCTATGGAATGCAGACTTAGGCAGTACTCTTGGAGTCAATACGGCACCGGGACCTGGCAGTGTCTCTGGAGTCATTTTACTACCTGCAACCATCTGGTGGGCCACTTCCAAATAAAACACTCTATTTTTCATAAATATACAATTTTAACTTATGTGCTTTTAATATCATGATAATTAGAATTGCGGGGGGTAGAGGGGAGATGAGTAAAACAAGACACACCACACACACAAAAAAAACCTTTAACCTCATCTCTCAGTAACTTTCAAGAAAGCAAAAAAGGGGGGGGGGAGGAACGGGGAGTCAAGATGTGAAAGATTTCAACAAGACTGAAAATTACACTTGCTGAGCTTATACAGAGAACATCACAGCATAGTACTGCAGAGTATCCATTCACTGAAGCACACGTTTATAAAATCTGATTGTATACAAGCTGCGAGACTAAAGTCATGGAGCATAGTCTCTGAACATGCAGTTAAGCTTGAAATCATTAAAAAGACACCTACAACATCCATACAAATTGACAACTAAAAAATATTGTTATTTTAGTTGAACCGGGGATTGAACATAGGGCCTTGTGCATACTAGGGAAATGTTCTGACCCTGAGCCACACTCACCCTAAAAAATAATTATTAGCCAGACAGACAAAAGATTATGAGGAAAATATTCTGTATTGGACAGCGACAAAGCCACTAACACAAAACACACACAATGCAGTGAAATGGTACATAAGCAGAAAATGCAGCCTCAGGGAAATGTGCTCATCGATAGACTGTGCTGTCAATACTACAGCCACAAGCTCACCAAAGTAGGAAGGTGCAGTAAATTGAGTAAACACTTGATTTGGAAGTTTTATAGTTTAATTTGGTAATTTCTTATTGAGATATGCTAGAATCACTTTTGAATTACACCTAAAGACTCAGTGTGTGAGCATGTGGGCGGGGTACACATGTGCTGACAAGAGAGTCAGAAGTGACTGCAGAATCAGTTCTCTCCCTCTTCTATGTGGGTCCAGAGGATCGAACAGATCCTCAGGTTTGGAGGCACCTTACTAGCCTGTCAATGACCCAGAAGAATGTCATTAATCCAGTGCATTAAATAAAATGCCTCATCAAAATTTTAATCTATTTCTTATTTTTAATATAGTTATTAAAAATGTTTCATTATATGTAGTGTCTTTTTTATTTCTACTAAAAGAACTGGTATACAAAAAAGGATCAAAGAAAACCCAGAGAAAGAGAAAGACAGAAGGGGAGGAGAGCAATATTTAATAACACAAATAATCTGAGTCTTTTCAAAGCCTTATTTGGTTCATTGGGACTCAAAGCACTGGCAAGCATGTGAAAAAACTAATCAAGAGAAAAGCAAAAGGAGTAAGACTCAAGATAAAAATGTGGACATTTTTATATACCATAAATCTTAAGGTACCACCAAAAAGTGCTAAAATAATAATTTCTTAATATAAATAAAATGGGTAAGTTCTTAGGGAATAAAATCACCACTTGCAAAGGTACAAAGGATGAATTATTAAACTGAATTACCCTGAAACAATTAAACAACTTTAAAAATTAATCACCTTTCAAAATTCTTCTCAATGGTTTCAACAAATTCTATCAAACATTCAAGATGAAAAACTGTAATGTCACACAAATACTACTCAAGAACTTAAGAAAAAAGTCACTAACCTGTTTGATAAGTTACAACACTAGTATAAAAACAGGGACCAACAACAAATGTTGAAGAGATTATGTGGAAAGGAGAATGCAATTACTAGAGGGATCTGTATGGAGCTTCCTCAAGAGAGAACAGAGCCACCATATAACCCAGCTATGCCACGCAAGTACGCAGCAGAAGGACTCTGAGAACTGCATGTCTATTGTTGCACTATTCAAAAAGGTCAAGAAACTCAAACAGCCTAGATGCTCATAAATGATTGGATGAACAAAATTTTTACACCATTTAAAAAAAAAAGGAAGTCATTGGTGCTGGAGAGATGGCTCAGCGGTTAAGAGCACTGCCTGCTCTTCCAAAGGTCCTGAGTTCAATTCCCGGCAACCACATGGTGGCTCACAACCCTCTATAATGAGGTCTGGTGCCCTCTTCTGGTCTGCAGGCATACACGCAGACAAAACACTACATACATAATAAGTAAATAAATATTTAAAAAAAAAGAAAAAGGAAGTCATGACGTTTATAGCAAATGGGCTGGAAATCATTATTGGGCTCTGTAAGTCAGACTCAAAATCACATTTTCTCTCAGGTAGAACTTAAATTTAAAATTTTACACGTATGAATGTACACATGTATGTGTGCATGTATGTGCGTATTTACACTTTTGTAGGTCATAAAGCTAGAAAGGGGTTCCTTGAAAGAACAAGATCTTAAGCAAGGTGGTTGCAGAGCAGGTAATGGTATCATGTGTAATAGGAAGCAGAGGGCATCTAACTGGAGAATGAAAAGGGTCTACTGAAGACAAAGGGGAATGACTGAGAACAATGTGTAACAATACCTACTTATGAAGATGCCATGATGAAACCCATTACTTTATAACTTAAAAAGCTAATTTAAAAAACCAACAAAGACTTTTCAAGAAACAAATTCCAGCCTACAGCTTGGGAATTTAGCTCAGTGGTAGAATGATGCCTCGCAAGTATAAGGTGGGGACAAAAATCACAACGAGTGCCTCCCACAAAAAAGTATGCCAGCTGATCTCATAATCTGAATGCAAAATCTTCAACAAAATATCATCAAACCAAATCCAACAATATCTCCATGTATCGTGGCTAAGTTTAATTTTCACAAGAACTACCAGGTTGTTTTAACACTAGAAAAAGAGTACTACAACTCACCTCAATAGCAGCTTAAAGGGAAAACATGCTAGACCATAAAATGCCAAGAAGCAGTTCTCAGTGTTCTGTCATGATGAACACTTGGAAGAAATTTCCAAGAAAAACTACTACTTAATTTGCAAAACGGATCTATGAATAGTTGGGGGAATCACGCCACAAAGTGGTTGTAAAAGCTGCGTCTGAATTGGGGTGAGTCAAGCTTGCTCCCGCTCAGCATGAGACACACAGTGTAGTGAGGAAATGAGAGAGACAAAACAAAACAGTCACAACCACAGACAGTGCATACTAAGCCTGGAGACAAGCCAGCAGACTAATAGCGTCAGGAGTAAGCCTTACTAGACACAGGCTAACATAGGAAAAGACCTGACTGCTGTCACATCAGTAACAATGATCATCACACAACAATGCTTTAATGATTCCAATGGCAAGAACATTACGAACTATCAGATACCTGAGAATAAATCTGTCAAAAGATGCCTATAAATTCCATGTAACCAAATCACTCAAATCCCCAACAGATTTTTATTTTCCCTTTGAAAAAAAGCTGATTCTAAGATCAGACACACTGGAAACAGCTAAGAATGTCTAATAACTAATAATGTTATTAGTTATTAATAATTAATGTTATTAGTTATAACTAATGTGTCTTGAGCACTTGAAAACCTGAATCAAACTGGAAGGGCATCACTACACGTGTCTACCAGACACCAACAATGGACACTCAAGGACTCTACCTAGAGACCAGAATGAGGCATCACTACACTTCACCTATCAAATGCCAACAATGGACACTAACGGACAACACAATAAGACACCACTGCACTTCTTTTACCAGACACAAACAACGAACCAGCTTCCGTTCTCAAACCTCACTTCTAACTCTTGGGGGATGAGGAAGAAGACACGCTTGACAAATACAGCCAGAGCACAGAATGAGGAACCATAGAGGCACGACACACATAAAGATTCCGAATACTCAGACAGTGCATTGTGTATGTATATAATTTAAAACTGAATAATAATGAACAGTGTCGGGGCTGGAGAGATGGCTCAGAGGTTAAGAGCACAGGCTGTTCTTCCAGAGGTCCTGAGTTCAATTCCCAGCAACCACATGGTGGCTCACATCCATCTATAGTAGGATCTGATGCCCTCTTCTGCCATGAAAGCACACATGTAAAAAGAATAATCATATGAATAAATAAATCTTTTTTTAAAAAAATTAAGGTAAAATTTACAGATATCTTTACAGTATCAGAGTTCCCATTATGAATAAACTGTATTTCATAAAGATAACCCTGGGGGCTGGAGAGATAGCTCAGCAGTTAAGAGCATCAGCTGCTCTTCTAGGAGACCTGAGTTAGATTCCAGGACCCACATGGTGGCTACAACTGTCTCTATCTTCAGTCCCAGTGGATATGATACCCTCTTCTGTCTTCCGTGGGCACAGACATACATGCAGGCAAAATAAACACACCATATATATAAAATAAAAATTAAAAAAAACAAATCAGCGACTTGCAAGGATTTTAAATTATTTCCAAATATCTGTGTGCTAGAAACACATAAAGTATCACCAAAAAATTCCAGAGTATTGTGGATCAGCACTGTGGACTATTATCTCAATTAATTTTAAATAAAGTTATAAAGAAACTGTTTCTATTAGTGTAACAAGAACAAAATTCTACAATAAACAGTGTGGCAAGCAAAACGGCTTATTTAAAATTGAGGAAACAGTTTAAAGCTGAAAACATTTTTGAAGAAAAACTATTTCTCAAGAGAAGTCCTAAGCTCACTACCATTGTTCTTCCCTGTTATTTAAAGTACACACAAGTGTTCTTACCTGGAATAAGATCTGCATAGGTCAAGCTAACATATAAGATGCTGATAAGAACTTTATCAGCAAGTGGATCAAGAGCACTTCCCAAAGCTGATTTTTGATTGGCCCAGTTTCGAGCAATAAATCCATCCAACTGAAAATAGAAGTGTTTTTTAGATAAACATCATCATAGGAACAGAATAGGTAATTTGTAGCTTAAGAGATACCAGAAACAACTATGCTTTCAGAAAATGTCAGCAAAATCTCATTTCTTATCCCCAAACATTCTTAGTCTTTTAGCTTTTAAAACAGCAAATTATCTAAAAAATTTCATGTTTATAGTACTGTTCTTTCTTCTCCAAGGGGTCCTACTGACTTCTTACTAATTCCACAACATGCCCATGTGAAATGAGCACAAACATAAATGCAGAGATAAAAACCCACACAACTCACGGAAGGCATGACTGACAGAGCTGGGACTAAGAGCCCACTGTTTTGAGCCAAACGGCTGCTGTTGCCTGTAAGAACTACTTTTTAACTGTGAGACACTCAGCTTTCACATCTCTGTTTTCCTGTATTGGCTGACTCTTGTGGGTCCTGTTTTAAAACTTATGTATATGTGTGACTGTAAGCTGTGTGTTTGTATGTGTACATGTGTGTTCACAGAGGCCAGAGGAAACTGTTAAATCTTCCAGAACTGGGCAACTGGGAGATGTCTGATGTGGGTACCGAGATTCAAACTCAGGACCTTTGGAAGAGCAGGAAGCACTCTACAGTTGAGCCATCTCTCTGACTCTTATCTAATTCAATCTTAAAATTTATTTCATTAGAGAGCTGGGGTGTATTTCAGTGAGCGCTTGACCAACTTCGATGAAGCCCTGGGTTTGATGACCTGCCCCCCTCCCCGCTTCTCCTCCCCCTCCCTCTCTCTCTCTCTCACACACACACACACTCACACACACAAAGAAATAAATGTGCCACACACATACATATATTGTTTAGTTCCACTATTAATTCAATTATTCAACATTCTATGAAAGAAAAATGTAATCCTCTGTACCTACCCTAGTTAAAATGCTAATACTTAAATTATAGGGTTTCACTATGTAGCCCTGGCTGTCCTGGAACTCAGAGGTCTGCCTGCCTCTGCCTCCTGAATGTTGGAATTAAAGATATACATCACCACACCTAGCAAATTACTTCTTTTATTACTTATTTTGATTAGAAACAATATTTTAACCTAGATCACACCAGGTTGCCAAGTTTTCTTTTACCATAAACAATGAATCTCCAGTCTAACTCGAGAGGTGCCAGACTTGGTCATGAGGACCACAAACAGGATCAAAAACTGGTGCTGCCTAGTCACATGACACAAGGCTTGTTTATCCTAAGCTCCAATGTATAGTACTCGTTTTATTTAACTTTATACCAACAAATGTCTGAAACCTATTCTTATTTCTAAGAAAACAATATAAACTAAAACTAACTTATGTAAGACTAAGTACGGATTGCCAAGTATCCCAGTAAGTTAAGGAGAAAGAGTCCCAGGAGTGGTTACATCGCTGGTTTAAGCCTGAGGATGCGGCTCAGGTCACATCTCTCACCTGATACTCAGAAGGCCAGATGATCCCTAGCACAACAAAACAAAACCCACCAGCAACCACACAGCCACAACAGCAGAACAGACTGCTGCAAGTCCTGCTCTGCACACCCTTCTTGCGTGGCCTTGAACAAGGCCTCTGACTTGGCTTTTCTTCCTGCTTAAAACAGGTAACACCCACCTACCTCAAAGCCTTGGCTACCTTCAGCACATAATATGATTAATGCTTGTTCAGTCTCTTAGCAAGTTCTCAAAAGAGCAGTTACTAACTACTCCAATCACTATTAGAACAATTAGCTTTCTTCTTCCCTGCCCTTTCCCTCCCCTCACCCTGTAATATTCATTCATTCATTCACAGGCAGATTCTCTTACTCTGCAGCCTGGAGCCTACTAAGTAGACCTAGCTGGTCCAGATCTTGCAGTCATCAGCCTGCCTTTGGTGCTGTTATTTTAAGTGGACTGGAGGTAAGGTTAATTAACAAAGTGTTGATAATGGGGAGTTAAAGCCTTGAAGACCCAGCTTTTGGTACAGGTTCTGTTCTCCACTTCCCACGTTTTGGCATTACTGCCGTCTTCACTATTGCTCTAACTCACGTCACTCCTGTGCAAACAAGCACACTGCTCTCACTGCACTTCATTCCTCCAACAACACCAGCACCATGCACGTCAGGCCAGCATGCAAGTGGCCAAACACTGCTCCAAAAAATACATAAATGGGCTGACTGATCTCACAAATTCCTGACCACAGACTTCTGTGTGCACTCAACGCCTAGCTGTTATCTACTGACAGTATTACTTTATGCTGTAACCCTGACCTACTTCATGCCTATTAAATGCTCTCATTCTAGCCCACAGCCACGTCTCTACTTTCCTAGAAGAAAACAGTCACAGACAACCAGCAGTATTCCCTGCATTGCACCTAATACACAGTCAGCTGCTGCACTCATCTTGTCTTCCCTAATGGAATTCCATTCCTCATTTTATTACTTAGCTAATCCAAAATCTTCCCCAGCACACCCGTCTTTAAAACAACCCTCCTTTGGCCCTCCTTCGCTATTTCCCTACAAAACAAAACTGTTCTAAAAGCAGTGCCAGCCACTACCACCCCTCATTTGCTTACCAACTTAGGCCAATCATCCTCACACCTCTACAAAGTTCTCATGCAGATCACCAATGTGCTCTGCATGTTCAGACCATGTGACCTCACACTAGCAGCACTTTGGCACTGTCTCACCTTCCTTTCTCATCATCCCTATCGTCCCTGCCAACTTCTCCCTCTCACTGACTAATTCACCTCACTTAGATAGTTCCTCTGATCAGGCAGCTCCCAATCTGCCATCTTCTGGTCTACATTACCACATTCAACTTAAAGCAACAGCTATCAGGAGCTTGGTGGTTTCCCCTAAACCCTGTCCTGTCTCAAGGGTTCCCCATTCCCCAGTTTTATCACCAAGAACCTGATTTTGAAGATGGGCGTGGGTGGGGGTGGCGTGCCTTGGTGATCCTGTTTTATTTCCAGTCAATCTGCCCAGTGTAACAACATATCAATACTTTATTCAGAACATTATCCAAGCCCATTCACTTCTAACTCCAAACTCCAACTCAGTCTAAGCTACTTCCTCACCAACTCTTTGGCTCCCAACTCTTGCTGGCCCAGAGCCTACTTCCCACACAATCAGATCCTGCCATTTTCCTGCATAAAACCAGCAGGTGCGGAGGCATCCAAATCTCCATGGGAAAGTGCACAATATGGTACCAGTTAATTCTGGTTTCCATACACATCATGCCATGCTTTTTGATGGGGTGCCTCTCTCATTCAATAAGGCCATGTCATGTAGCAGCTGAACCCTTACCCCACAAAGTCCTCACAAATTAACAAATATAAAAGGTAAATCCAATGTCTGGGGGGAAAAAAACCCAACTTTACTATCTAAAATATTTCATTATCAGTCTAATGTTCTAGGACAGATTTTCAGACCACACCAATAATGAGTGGAGAGAGCTTCAGGAGAGGGACAAACAGGTCCTGAAGAAAGGAGAAGAAATGATGAGTAGACGGACAGATGCTGACAAAGGAGAACCACCATCTGAGAAGGAAAGGCAAAGCTCACTGAAAGGCTGTACCTGCTGCATATTCAGAAACACTAAGACAACACAAATGCTCACGTCTGTCCATCTTCAAAGCCTTCCATTAACTTCATTCATTACTAACACTACTGTTACTAGGTATCTCTATGAACCACAGACAGAAAAGCAAACTTTTTTTTAATTTTATTTTTTTGGTCTTTTGTGACAGAGTTTCTCTGTAGCTTTGGAGCCTGTCCTGGAACTCATTCTGTAGTCCAGGCTGGTCCCTAACTCAGAGATCTGCCTGTCTCTGCCTCGTAAGTGTTAGGATCAAAGGCATGGGCCACCACTGCCCAGAACGTTTTTAAACTTCCATACAATCTTTACTTTTGGGAAATCAGTTTTCTACTCTCATTAAATAAATGTTGAGCAAAACTGTTCAAAAACAAATAGGTTTGAAGACATAAATTTATCTCCTATCCAGGTGTATAAACAGATCGCCCAGTTTTCCTGTCTGAGAAAATATTGGTTCTGTTTCCACATGCTCATACCGCCCTGACCTCAAGTTTTTCCTCTGCCCTTCTCCACTTCTCTCAACTGTGTTTGTGGGCATAAAATTTTGTAAGCCATTGCACACCCTCTGTAAAAAGGTAGGGAATAAATACAGTCATCTATGATGGCAGTGCTGGCCAGCAAAAGCAATAGAGCCTTCTATTATGGCACTGTTCTCCAAATTCTAATTTGATATCACACTCCCCAAACTGACAGTGATACCAAAGAACGCCTCTCCTTGTCCACGTGCTGAGGAAGTAGGAAAAGGGATGCCCAATTCCCATCTCGAACCAAGGCCTTCACTGCACAGCAGCCGCAGGTGTGTTGCTGGATGACCAAGCAGAACACGACCTGCACCAGCTCCCAGGCCGCATCCTCCTCCACTTTCCCGAGATCAGAACACTTCCTTCACAGTAGACACGGAGTACCAGAACTTCTCTTTATTCTACCGCTACAGTAAGTACTTGGATCTTGAACATTTCTACATGTGTGGTTTTTTTTTTTAAAAGAAGTTAAAAACCAAGGGTAAAGATTATCCTCTCCTACAGCTCTCCACAACCTTTACACTTGGAGATCTTAGATCTTCATCGTCTTTTCTAGCTCCTCTAGATCTCAGAAAAGCAGTTCCACATGGATGTTGAAGACAAGTCCTTACACAAAGTGCTAGATCACACTCATGCTGAGGTTGTCCTTCCAGTACTCCAGGGGAATTGTGGGTAGTATGGGATTTAGAAGGGAGCAAAAAAAACAAACATATTCATAACTTACCAAATCCGTTAGCCCAGCTAAAGCAAAAACACCTAGTGCAACATTAAAATCTTCTTCAAGAATGAGATAGCCCAACACTGGGGCCAAGCCAATTCTCGTCATTGACAACATATTTGGGATTGTCCATGGATTTTCATACTGAAAGACAAAGACAGCATAATTTTTATAAAATACAACTTCATACGTTAAAATACATGGAAATGAGCTGGGCGGCGGTGGCAGATGCCTTTAATCCCAATACTCTGAAGGCAGAGGCAGGCGGATCTCTGTGAGTTAGGGACCAGCCTGGTCAACAAGAGCTAGGTCCAGGACAGGTTCCAAAGCTACAGAGAAACGCTGTCTCAAAAAAATCAAAACCAAACCAAATCAAAACCAAAAACCCATGGAAATGGAGAGTTCTGTAAATCTCTCCATTTCTAAAGTGGCCATGGAGATGCTGAGACACTTTCTCCTCCCTCAAATAAAAACTGAGGGTGTTCCCAGCTCCCACCTGGAGTTGTGACTTCTTGAAAGTTCATTTGGAGCCAAGCTGCAGAAACTGGCACTGACAAAAGGGCTCCTTGGCAGCTGCCCTTAAGGACAGACCTCCTGTGCCAAACAGGAGATTCCCGAGAGCACTGCAACTTTGGAACTCCAGCCCAGCAGACCTGACATGCCCTGCGCCACATGGGACAGAAACAGCAAGAAAATGTCTGTCCCTGGAGCCGGAACCGCGGAACCTGAAAGCAGATTTGCCCGCTGGACTTTGTCTTCAAAGAACCATTCTAACATCTTTTTAAATCAATAAATTAGTAACCAATTTGCCTGAACCTTAACCTTCTTAGAAAAAAGGGGGGGCAGGTTGGTGAGCTCAGCAGGTGTGGGTACCTGCTGCCAACTCTGACAACCTGAGTTCCCAGGACACACGATAGAAAGAGACACACCAGGAAAGTTGTCGTCATCTTTGCATGTGTTCACAGCAAGTGTGTGTGCACGCACCAAAGGGAAAAAGCGTCAATGTTCATTTCCCAAGATATCTTAAAATCTCATGAGCCACCTACCTCCTAAGAAAAGGCATTTATTTTACAAAAAGAATCCAACAGAAAGCATACTGGTGTAGAGGGATAATGGGGTAGCTGTTGGAATCAGATGACAAAATACTCTCACTGAAAACTATAGAACTTCAGGGCTGGAGAGATGGGTCAGTAGTTAAGAGCACTGACTGCTCTTCCAGAGGATCTAGGTTCAATTCCCAGCACCCACATGGCAGCTCACAACTGTCTCTAACGGCAAGATCTGACACCCTCACACCCTCATATGTGCAAGTAAAATATCAATGCAAACGAAATAAAAGTAAATTTAAAAAAAGAGAAAATTGTAGAACTTCAAATCCTACTACACCAAAATCAGAAGCAATACAGCCCTTTACTCTGGAATGTTCTATTCAAAGTCGGATCACATTATAAAGTTGTATGAAAACATGCTCATTTACACCCAGGTTCAAAATATTAGAGCATTCCTGAAACTTAGGAAAAGCGTCAGGCTGGTGAGACGGATCAGGGACGCTGTCCTGACCTTTGTGCGTGTAAGGAGGACAAGCCTGCGGAACACACTATGGTGGTACAAGGTCAGTCAAACACTGATCCAATATCACAGCAACTCACAAAGGCTGGGAAGAGGGGAAGAGAGCTCGTGGTGGAGAAGATGTGACACAAAGCAAAAGCCAGGAATGAAGAGCTCCAAAGTTAGTCTGCCATGCCCCCGGGGCAAGCCTAAGTCAGAGCTGCTGCCAGCAGTCGTACACTGGATGGGCAGCTACTGGGCCAGTGAAGGGGCTCGAGCCCTACAAGAAACGCTCGCCGAGAGCTAGTTATCACAGTCATCTGTACAAGTCAACACTGGGAAAGCTTAATCTCAGATTACCCAACCAGATAACCTGCGGCATACTCGGCCAACTGTGCTGGGTAGGGCTTCAGCCAGGTTGAGGGCCGCTTCAAGGCATCCAGCGTTCAAGCTCCGAAGGGCTTTAAAGCTATTCCTGCCGTTGAGACCCCTGCCGGGGTGTGGCCACCTCAGCCCATGCTGTGTAACTGATGAAAGCGGAGCAGGACAGGGGCCTCTGAAGACCTAACAATTGAAGATGTAATAATTGCACGAGCTTTGCTAACATGACAACAAAAGGTGTACCACACTCATGAACTGGGGTCTCCTGCCTGGGACGTGATGTTAGCAGGTAAGGTGTCACCTCAAGAATAGGCTTAAGTTATAATACAAAGTTGAAGGATCTTTCCATTACAACCCACGCTAAATAATTATCCTCCGTGTTACTGTATATGATGACCAATGGCCAAAGGTTGAAGAACCAAACCTGCACTAGCGAACAGATGGGCCTTCTTAGACGCTTCCGAATTTACCCTATACACTCAAGATTCGCTTCAAAAAATTAAAAATAGATTTTTAACTAGACGAGCGAGAGCTATGTTTTACCAATGCAACGTGCAGACACACCTCCCAGCAACGGGTGTAGACAGACGGGGATTAAAGTGGGTTCTAATTTGGCCAGAGACTGTACCCGGCTGGGGCCCCCGGAAGCTCACGGCGACCGAACGCGCCGCCTGCCCGTAACTTCCCAGAACATCGAGTGTCGCGACAGAGCGTCGAGCCCGTCACCTGCTCGGTCGACTCTCGTACGTACCGGGCTGGCGGCGCTCGCCGGGCCCCAATGGGCGCCCGGGGCCTGCGCTGTGGCGCCTCCT